AAAAACACATGCACTCTTAACTAACTACACAGCCATTGCCTCTTGTTATTATTATTATTAATTTTTTAATCAACACACAACAAGCAATATGGTTAGTCCCTAAAAAATGCTAGCAGTAGGACCAGCAGCAAACATGATTCCTGGGTCAAGGCTCCTGTCGCCAACCCTGAGGAGCTGAACTTGACCCTCAGGGTCTACAACCTAGAATGAGAGAAGGGAGTCAAAGTTGGCTTCTGACCTCCAACACGTGTACATACATACATACACACACACACACACACACACACACACACACACACGTGTTAAAAGAAAATGCTAGTAGTTTCTTTTTCTTTCATGTGTTTACTACTACCCTGGACTTGGTCATTTGTTTGTGATCACATTTGACCCCCTTGTCAGGGCTGGAATGCTATAGAAACAGGATGATTAGGCTAGAAAAACAAAGAGAAGAAAATGGACCGATGTGATAAAGCAGCCATTGATTTCTTACGTTCTAACTCGAACATTCGTGCACACTAGTTCTCCAAGTAAAATGCCTTGTCAAACCTCCTCTCTGCCAAAAATGCACTGCCATCTGGATTCTACACGGCAACGTTTTCTTATTTAATACACATGTCCCACTTTGGGGAAAGGCATGGTAAAAAGCTTTAATATGACAAGAAACAGAAATAAAATAGAGAAAACACATTGTGTTTCAAAATGAATGCAAGGTTCAGATTTGTGACACTGTGAGAATTGGAAGTTTCACGTGCTCTCTATTATTTTTATGGCCATACTATGAGTCTTCAATGTCATAAAAAATTTTTTTAAAATTCTAACCTGCATGCAGTTTGGAGATCAGCATTTGTTTATTTAAAAAAAAAATAGTATAAGGGCCTACTATTTCAAAGAGGTTAAATGTCATCAGATGGTTTCTAGCCCCCAGGTAATATCACCAGTAGTAGAAAAGAAAGCAGAGTGTTCCCCTGGACAAGAGGAAATCTGAATTTGGTGCTAACTGCACCAAACTTGGGCAGATCATTGAACTTCTCAGTGTTGCTGCTCCCTGATTGGAAATGTGAGGGCTCTGTGTTAAACTGAGCATGACATCTTCAGGGGACAGGAGCACTTTCCGGACTGGTAAAGGTTATGTCACCAGCATTGTGGGATGGCATCTCAAATGTTTTTATTTTATGGCAACCCTAGGGATTAAAGCCAGTGTCTCATACATGAGTCACTGAACATACGTACTACTGAGCTTTACTCACAGCCCGGTAACTGTGTTTTAGTCACTTCTTGTTTCCACTTTTTCTTTTTTTCTCCTTCCAATACAAGGGATTAAACCTAGGGCCTCAGATGGCGATCTCCACCACTAGTCTGCATCCGCAGCCCCTTGTGATTTTGAAGTCTTACTGTAATTAGACTTTAACTTGTTCTGTAGCCCAGGAGACCTCAAACTTGAGAAGAGTCTCCTGTTTCAGCTTTATGAATTTCTGGATTTGGGGCCCTTAGCTCCCAGCTAAAACATTGACTTTATTTGTTTGCTAGTTTTCAAGACAAGCCCTCACTGTACAGCCTTACCTGGCCTGGAATGAATGCACCATGCAGAACAGACTGGCCTAGAACTCCGAGAGATCTGACTGCCTCTGCCTCCCTGAGGGCTCAGCTTAAAGGCTTGTGCCACCACGCCCAGCAAGTTGACAGTTTTCACAAAACACCTTTTATTGTAGTATCTAACTCCCCCTTTCTTCATTCTCTCTCTCTCTCTCTCTCTCTCTCTCTCTCTCTCTCTCTCTCTCTCT